TAATGGAATGCATGAACTATTAAGTGCAAGTTATATTTTTACGTGGAATGCAATGCTTGTGTTATGCTAACCTAGTGAAACTAACACTACCTTTAAACATGTAATGAAATAGAATATGCGTACTACTCATTAAGACACATATTGTAGACATGTATAATTTATCAATAAGTGTATAACATGGGATACATGCACTGTCCATTGATATGGATGGGATGGAATGCTCATATTATCCTATCATGATGTGCATGGGATGAGATACATGTATTATTTCATCATGATGCATGAACGCGAAAGATGAAACAAAATATGAAAACAAAATTTTGAAAAGGAAGAACAAAAAAACTAGGACTTGAAAATTAATTTTATTCGGTCAATAAACAAAGAATTCTTTAAAAAAATCTTTAATTTTTTTGAAAACTTTTTTTTCATTTTTTTTGCTTGTTGGATTAATGCTAAAAATAATTCATCCTATTCTAAAATATTTTATGAATATGTAAATTTTGGATAACTACCAAATGAATGAAATACATGTAAAAAAAAATCTTCAAGAAAATGCTATTCTCTTATTTCTACAAAAGGGCAATGCTCTATTGAAGGTCGGTCCCCTAAGGTTCATTGTATGCTGAGTGAAGATTTGTTCATCTAAAAGTTCCTAAATTGTTCCTCACTGGCATCCACACTGGTCCAGTAAGGAACCCTGATCCTTACCCATTACAGGCTACGAACGAAAATGGTTCAATTTGAGTGAAAGTGTTTCGTTAGCAAATGTGGAGGTTATCACCTCACGAGAACGTAGCTACTTCACTTCCTTTTAAAAGGGGTAGAGCCCGGGTATAGAGCTCATGCATGTGAGTGAATATGTAAAGTGTGTGTAAAGCAATGTATTAATCTAAATAAATAAATCAAAAGAACAAAATCAAAATAATAACTAACATGCAATTTATTCTGTTTATTAACTTGTATATATATATTTTTGAAAAATTAAAACAAAAGTAATTAAACTAAATATTAAATAAAACCAATTAAATCCATTCATTGCTAATAACGTATAATTAAAATTTTAGCTTGACTATCAAATGTCCCCAGTGGAGTCGCTAAGTTGTTGTAACGGTTTTGGGACCGCTAGATGTAAAGTGTTTTAAAATCGAGGAAAATAAAAGGGGGAGTCACCACTAATCTTTGTTAGGGTGTGATTGGTCACCCAAAAGATTATCTTTTTAATAAAACTATAAAAATGGGTTTAATGTTTATAAAAAAAACAAATGTTGGTCTACGAAAATTAGGTTGGGTCCAGGTGTCGGTTACGTGTGGGGAAGGATTAACATCCCAACAACGCCCATAATTGGTACCATTTAATCATGTGCTATTTTCGATGTTGGATAAAATGGTTTTAACTTGAAATTTAATACTAATTCCCTTCATTTGAAAAAATATTTTTTGCTAAAATTCTTTATTTAGAAATATTTAGAAAATCTTTAAGTTAAAGAATTATCTTAAAATTCTCCAACATCTAGGCAGAACTTAAGATGACTCTTTTCATTTAAGATTTAATATGATATCCCTTAAAATAAAAATAAAACTCATTGCAAGAAATGATTATTGATGACTCTCCAACATCTCTACCGAGAATTATTCCATTCGAAATGTTATTTTTGTTTTATTTTATAATATCATGATTTTAAAAGTAAGTAAATAAAAAAACGTTTTGTGCGAAAAAGTAAATGATGGTATTATCAAATAGCAAGGAAAAATGATAGACAAAAAATTATGAAATGAGCGTCAATAATAATATAATGATGCATGTACGCCCATGGATATTATGCCAAATGATAAAATGCAATTTAAAAAAAATGAATTCTTAAATATAATGAGACCACATTAACTCTCCAATATCTAGGTAGAGCTTAGGTGCGTCTATTCATATTTAAGATCCTAATTTGTTATTATTCTTTTTATTAGAGTTTTTAATCTCATTATTAATGTGAATTAAGAATTTGTATGAAAAAACTTAATGCAATAAAATTTCCTAAATACCCCATCATCTAGGCGGCATTCGAGAATAAATTACTTCAAGTGAGATTTTCACACGTGTCCTTAGGATTTCGAAATGGTTTTAATAGGCTTGGGCCAATGTTTTAAGATTTGGTGACTTTTGAGTAGTGACTCAGGAATGCATATCAAATTTGGATTTTTAAAATTTTGGATTTTTAAAATTTTGGATTTTACGATTTTGGATTTTAGGGCTTGGGATTTTGGATTTTAGGGTTTTGGTTTCGAGTTTTGGATTTTGGGATTTTGATTTTAAGGTTTAGATGGTTTAAGGTTTTTGATTTTAGGGTTCGGAGGGTTTAGGATTTTAATTTTAGGGTTTGGAGGTTCAGAGTTTAGTTTTAGGGTTTGAAGGTTTGGAGTTTTGATTTTAAGGTTTGATTTTAATTTTGAATTTTTAAACGCGAACAGCACTAAAATCTCCAACAACTAGGCGGACTTTCAAAGCACGTTCGATTTTTTTATGATTTTCAAAAATTAATTTTTTTAAAAAAATCTCCTTTTTTTTAGGAAATTCATTATTATTATTGTTAATTTCATTATTCTTTTTTAATTAGTTTTTAAAAAATTTAAAATTTTTTTATATAATTTCCCAATATTTAGGCGAAATTATATATATTTTATTCCCTCCAATCTAGGCAGAGAAAGAAAGAAAATTTTTTTTTTATTATGCTTAGATTATTACTATTTTTTTTTTAGCATTTTTTAGCATTTTTTTAGTTATTATCCTATTTTATTCATTTTTATTATTATTAAAAATAATTAAACATTTATTCTAACAAATTTAGAAATTTATCATGCAAGAATTAAAAAAAGAAAATACTCAAAATAACAAAAATAATAATATAAAAAAAATTTAGAAAATTAAAAAAAAATTTTTTTTTTACCTGAACCAGATTGGTCAACGGTTCGATCAATGTTGGTCTGGATCGGTCTGATCGGTTCTACGATTCAATCAATGGTTCGATCTAGCGGTCTACGATTCGGTCCGATTGAAATAGGTTCAATGGACCGGTCAGCAGTTGTTAGAAGAGCGGGTCCACAGGTTAGGTTACGTAGATCCTAGATCGGATCCGGGTCAACGCGTGGATCCTCTTTGGCCTAAAACGATGTCGTTTTGCTCCTTAGTCTTTTATATATAATTGAAAAAAATTTTTTGTTCATTCTTTTTCTGTTTCAAAAAATAAAGGAGGGAGAGCTCTAGAGCTCTCTCATCGTCCTATCGCCAGACCGTTGCGTCGGCCACGATCTGGGTCATCGTCAGCGGACCCTACCGATGGCCGCTTGTGATTGAAAAATGCCAAAATACTCTCAGAAATGCTCTTCAATGCGCTCTTCCTAGATCTGACCTTTTTTTTGTTGAAAACAGCCTCGATCAGCGTAGATCGGGGCTCAAAGTTTCTGTTTCCCCTTTTTTCTCTTTTTTTTTTTGTTTTGTTTTGTTTTGTTGAAACAAGACTGACGTGATTTTTTTTTTTGCTTTTGCAGGTAGCTTTGGTGCTGGGTTCCTCCCTGCGGGGAGGACTGTGTTTGTTTTTGTTTTTGTTTCTGTTTTTCTGTTGGTTTTTTTTTTTTTATGGTTGGTGTGGGTTCTGTTTGGGGTTGTTGAAGGAAGAGGTTTCGAGGTTTCGAGGATCTATTTGAAGGTTTTTCGAGAGGGGTCTATTCCTTGTCTGAGAGTTTTCGAAAAGGAGGGTCCGAAGGTTTTTGAGATGAGGGTCCGAGAGTTTTAAAAGGTTTGAAATGGTGGTAGCATGTGTTGATGGAGCCACAGGGTCTTCGTGAAGGGACTAGACGAGGGGGGGTGGTATGATGGCTAAGGTAGCTGGACAGGGCGTGGGTGGCCAGTGGTGCCGTGCATGGCACCCGCTAGCACCAGCCCTTTCCATTTTGCTTCTTCTTCTATCTGGATTTTTTTGTTTGTCTTTCTTTTTTTTTTTAAATTTTTTTAATTAATTAATTTTTTTAATTATAATTAAACCAATATTATTATTATTATTATTAAAAAAATGTAGACCCGACAAAATCCGGTGTCTACAATAGGATTTGCTGTCTATTTTTTTTTTTTTTTCAAAAGGGCAACAAGCGTTTTCCTATTGGACAATTTGTGTTAATTCTTGGGTTATGTCTTTGTCTTCTTTGCTAATTAATCCAAAGGAAAGCTATGGTTTTGGGTTTGATTTTGAACCATATGCAGGGAACAGAAGGTGTAAAAAGTAGCATCCTTCACATGTCAATCGCTGCTCAAATTATTGGTGGGTTGGATAAGCTTAAAAGCACTTGGCAAACACAGTGCAACAAAAAAAAAAAAAACCTTTGAAGAAAAATTTGTATGATCAAAAAACATGTCTCAAGTTTCTGATGATGGGTCTGTTGTTGCATAATCACACGTTAAAAGTCTTTGGCATAAGTAACATCTCAATGTGGTTATGATATGTGGTTTGGCTTAAGTTTGATAAAAACATTATCATATGATCTGTCATGAAACACTTCCTCCAAAAGATCTGCTGCTACTGCTTCACAGTGATATCATCCTGCAAGCCAAAATATACCAACCCTTTGTGCCTGTTCTATACATCAATATTGATAGGATTACTCAAGAAAAGGTTCTAAATACTCATCCGAATACTTGATTCGTATTAAAAAAAAAAAGTTGGAAAGGAAATTTCATAACACTGGTGTAAGTAATTCAAAATAAATAATTAGATACATTGTAAATGCAAACATAATCTTATTTTAACCAATCACGTATATAAATATACATTTAAAAGTAACAACATACACTATATAATTCGATCTTATTAAGAAATATAAAAGAAATTATTTTTACTATTAAAACATGAACAATATTTTCTTTTAACAACTTGCTTTTTTCTTCAATACTTTTCACTTTATTAGAATGTAAAAAAAAAATTACAATAAAAATAAAGAAAATAATGTGATTAAAACTTGCTAATTGTAGGATAAATATAATAGTTAGAAGTACATTATCTCACCCTAATCCTAAATTATATGAAAAGATGGAATATATAAATTGAAAATTCTAGGCATTTAAGATGCCAACATAAGGCTTGGTTACTGAACCAATGTACAATGTTCCATTAAACTCATTAACTTCACTAATTGAGTCCAACGTAACTCCACCATATCCATCCAGTTGTTTCATAACATTTCCTTCTTGATCATATTTGATCCCAATAGGATCAGGGGCATCATTTTGAATGCTCCATAACCTTCCAGCGTTAAGAGCTACCCAAAATTCTCCATTTTCATTCCTTTTTATATTATCAGGAACTCTGGGTAGCTGGGCAAACACTTCTGGCACATAACTATTTGCATCAGCATCAAGCTTGAACTTCAAAATTCTCCTTTTAATGGATTCTGCCAGTAGAAGGAAGGAACCGTTTTTGCTTAGTGCAATCCCATTAGGAAACATGAGTCCCTTGTGTAGTACATACACTTTTCTAGTGAAAAGATCATACTTAAGCAATCTTCCACTTCTATCGTTGGTTGATCTTATTAAAAAATCAGCGAACCTACATAATCATAAAAATTATTAATTTCTTTTTTATTTAATTATTTGAAATAAATTGTAATAGATTCTTATATAAATTTCAATGTTTTATCCAAATAATTTATTTCAGCAAGTGTGATCAATTCGAATTGATATAATAATATCAATACACATCTTATTTACAAATCTATAATAAAAAATTTTCAAAATAAATAAAAGTGAGTAATCTGGGAACTATTGTTTCAATAAAGACAAGAAAGATTGTTTGTTTAATTTGTTTCCTTTTTCTAGCCGGTTTGGATATTTGGGAATAAATCCCTAAATCGCAAATTAGAACATAAAATGGTATGTGAGGATATAAGTGCACTACTCCAAAGATCTAATTTTCCCAGATTAGTATTATCGAAAAAAAAGTTTTCCTAGCCTTTGATTTTGTCTGTGTCTCTCCCTCATTATGAATAATAATGTAAGTAAAGCCCTCCATACAGCAAATTCCTACTTGGTGAATTTCCATCCAATGTGATAGTAAAAACCTATAAAATTTTAATTTCTTGTAATGTAAAGAACTTCAGCCTAGTCCTTGCAAAAAATAGAATCTAGCTATAAAATATTTATTGTAATTAAACCCCCCATATAGCTATATAATAGAACCTAAAAAAATAGACCCATGTAATTCGCTCACTAGTCCTCTCTTTTTGTTCATTTTAATTTTTTTTTTGTAAAATTTTCATCAATATAATTTATAAGAAAATTGAGGGAGGGAAATTGATAAATAAGGGAGAATATGAGAGAAAGAAAACAAGAGGTACCTCCTTTGAAAGATAAGGCTACTGTCTGTAAAATAGGCAACTCCGGTATTGGCATCAATGTCTAAACCATTTGTAAATCTAAATGGGATTCCTTCGGCTGAAGTAGCAAGTGTTTGAGCCACGCCACCATTGGGTCCGACCACTAGGAGACCGAAGTAAGCATCTGCAATGTAGAGATCACATGTTTCTTTGTTGAATTTCAGACCCAATGGCCTTCCACATATTGGTTCGAGGCTGGGATTTGCTGAACCATCCCACAGCTTCCTCTCCCTAATATCCAACGAACAAACCAACAACTAATCAATCGGTATTTGGTTATTATATTATCTACATTTGATCGAAAGGATGTGATGAAGAAATTGATCAATATTTTAGCAGATGGAAACAAAAAAAAAATCACAGATTAACAACTAAAGAAATTTACTATATATACCTGATTGGTGAAGGTATGGCAAACTCTTTCCAACCAAGACTTTGTCTTTGCCATTTGAGTATTCTACCATCAGATACACCAACATATGTCCCGTCTCCTCTGCAATCAAAAGCGATGCTTTCGGGTCCTGTAACATGGGTGAGATTGATTTGGTGGTAATGCTTTGGAATAACATCACCCTCATGATTAGGAAGCTGTTGCTGGGATTGTTTGATGTTTAGAACGAGGAAAAACACAAGGAACAAAAGCTTGAATGAATGAGATTTCTTCATGGTTGAATTGGTAACAAAGCTAGACATGGAGATATAAGAATCAACTTGTAAGGAGACTTATAATATGAAATAAAGGTGACAAAACAGTACTTGAAAGTGAAGGAGGATGTGAACATTGGATATATATTTATAGTAGTAACTGCTTGAGAAGTAATAAAATCCAATTTCAACCCAAATCAAATTACTAGTTATAGTGGGAATTCGCTTAGACATAGAATTATTATTCAAGACCATAAAAATATCATAAAAAGTTGCATATACAAAAGCAAAAGGAAAGAAATTAAAATAAATGAAGGTGTTTTGTTTTTTTTTTTAAACTAAGATCCCTTTTCCTATTTGGGCAAGTAATAGTAACTTATATAAGTATAAGATGTTTAATTTATTTAGTGGTATCTGTTTTATTAGAGAAACAAACTTAGTTTGACTTGAACTATAAGTTTAGGCTTTAATTCTTCTATTCTCTTCCAACCATTGTGTTGCTTTCTGCAGTGCAAACAGCATACTATCGCTCTTACAGACGGTGCTCAAGACTGCAAGTGGGGCCTAAATAAGTTTGGCATAATAAAGCAAACTGGAGCTTGCAATGATCAAAACACGACTTTGTTGAATAATCTTTTAATCTGATTTTGCTTCTACAATTTTGTACCCATATATATATATATATCCATACTGTTTAGCAAATAGAAAACTTTGATTCTTTGAGATATGTATTTGAATATTGTTAATGAGACAACACGTCACGTGTTAAAAACTGTGGTATCTATATAAAAAAAAAGGTAAACTATCGTATCCATTGGGGATATGCATTTTGTTTGGTTTTAAAGTTAAATGTATAAAATTTTAAATTATAATTACGTGATATATATAATTAAAATATTATAAGTATGTTAAATATATTTATGTCACTTAAACTAAAATTTTAAAATAATCAAACTTAATTTCATATATCATATTTTGTAAAAACATGATAATTCATAAAATCAATTTATTATAACAATGATAAATTGTAACAAAATAATGCAACAAACTTACTGATAATATATGTGACAATAATTTTTACGGATTCGTATGACTAAATGATATTTAAAGGATTTACAAAATTTTTTAAAAATTTTTTGAAGTAAAAAATTTTTATCATCACAAAGTGCAACATTTTAACAATTGAACAATAATCAATGAAAATGTTCAAAACTTAATGGTTATGTCCAAGAAAAGATTGATGACTTAATTAAGTTCCAAATAATCTTTTATCCATCTCAATTAGAGCTACTTAAACTTTATCATAAAAAATCAATTGTGATATTCAAGATAAAAGAATGCAAGTTCTACATATGAGTAACAATCCTTACAAATAGCCAGAGTCTATGATATGTTATTTATAATTAAATTGAAAAGTCTAAGTGCATCATTAGAAACTCCCATTTGGACAGAGAATGTGGTATGCTAATAGACACTTTTCATATCAAGCTAATATGATAATATTTCAGTTTTCCCCTTTGGACAGATAGGTCTTCTAAACCAGTTTACTCTTAACAATGGCATTTAATATCCATTCCAAATTATCAAACAAAATAAGTCTCTTTAGGTAGATGATTATATAAGGTAATTTGGAATATTTTCATTTTTAGAAGCACCTACATTAACTAATTGTATTTTTTATATCAAGAAATTTAGATTGCTTATAATATTATTTTGCATATTTAACTAAATGTATGCATTTTAACTACTCATTACAAGATATTTGATCATGATGCATCTCTTTGAGCCATTAAAGAGTTGATTGTTCCGTTTGAGACACCAATAATCAATATGTATCTAGATGGATCATTGTAAACATGATTGTTTTTAGTGAAATACTTAAACTAAATATGTCTTTTTGGATTTATAAACTAAATGTCTTCTTTGATTTACAAATAATTATTGCTTCCAAAATTCAAGTGCCTTGAAATTCATGAATAAATTAATATTAAATCCACAATGAAAGAGGAAAAAATGGCTATAAATTGTCAACCCCATGGGGAAAAAGAGTATTGTCACTTGAATCATTGATGTGCCTACTATACAAATTAAAAATGAAAATTTCATATTTCACTTTAGTAGTGTAAACACCGATTTTGTCCGGATCTACTGTTTTCGTTTTAGTTTAATATTAATAATTTTAATAATACTATTAATAATAATAACAATAATTTTAAAAATATAATAATAAAAAAGAGAGAAGGAGACAGAAACCAGAGGGCTAGTACGGCGTCGCTGCCACCCCCGATCAGCCCTTGACCAGCCCCCTGTTCAGCCCATTTATAGCCACCCTACAGCCACCAAAATCCCCCTATTTGAAGCTCTTAAAAATCTCATAGATTTTTCCCCTTCAAACCTCTTTCTTGGACACCCCTTTGGCACCAGACACCTAGCTTTTCCCCACCAAACTCACTGCCCTCAAACACTCTCTCCTCTTGGACACATCCTCGAACAAAAAACTCATACGCACAAAACCTCAGCACTTGCACTCAAACCAATAGCCACCACCAAAGAAACCCACGTAAACACACTGCTATTCCTAACCCCAATCAACCCTTCACCCATCAGAAACCCCTCACCCACCAGAAACCAAAACATAAAAAAAACACAATCCTCGCTAGGCGAGGAACCCAGCCCCAAGCGCCAAGCTACCTGCAAAAAATAAAAAAATCATCATCAGCTTCAGTTTAAAAAAAAAATAGCGAACAAAAATCTTTGAACCTCGATCTATATAGATCGGGGTCGTTTCCAGTGAAAAAGAGATCAGATTTGGAAATATTGCGTCGAATATAGCTTTCAAGAGGATTTCAAAATTTTTTGACCACTAACGACCACCATCGGCGGTAGCCCAGATGGCGGCAGCACGACACCGGCTCTCAATCACCAGTGGATTCCCCGAGCTATCTCCAAAGCTCTAAAATTTTTTTTTTTGGAATAGAAGAAAACTGAACAAAAAAAAAAAAAACTTGGTTTATATATAGCCTCAATTGTCCAAAACGACGTCGTTTCAGAACAAAGAACCAAAACGATGTCGTTTAGACCAGGGAGGATCTGCGCGCGCCCATGACCAAACTCAGGATCCGTGTAACGACCTGCTGACCCGGTTCCTCCAACAGCTCTGAGTCGATTCAATCAAACCGAACTAAATTGCTCCTTAGTCGGTTCGACTGAACCGCAAGCAGAACCAACCCTTTTTCGGACCAACCGAACCGGTCGTTGAAAAGACCATTGACCGGTCCAATTTAGGTAAAAATTTTTTAAAATTTTTTATATTATTATTTTTATTATTTTAAGTATTTTTTTATATATTGATGCATGATAAATTGTTAAATTTGTTAGGATAATTTTTTTAATTGTTTTAATAATAATAAAAATAAAAATAAGTAAGATAATAATTAAAAATATATATTAAAAATGCTAAAAAAATGATAATAATTTTTATTATTTTTCCTGCCTAGATGTTGGAGGGAATAAAAACATTTTCCTAAAAGTAATTTCGCCTAGATGTTGATGAATTATTGTTAATAAATTTCATTAAAAATAATATATGAGAAATTCTTGATCAAATTTCAAAAATCACTAAAATCGAACTTGGTCTGAAAATTCACCTAGATGTTAAAAATTTTTAGAGATGTTCGCATTTTCTTAAAAACGAAACCTCAATTTTTAAATCCAGACCCAAAAATTCGAAACCCCCTAAAATCTCCAAACTCCAAAATCAAAATCCCTTAAATTCAAACTCCCTAAAATTCGAAACCTTAGAACCTTTAAACCCTTAAATCCCGACCTTTTAAAATCAAAACCCTAAACCTTCCATACCCTAAAATTCAAGCTTTAAAACCCTCTAAACCTTTAAAACCTCTACTCAAGCCCTTACTCAAAACATTCTGAAAACTCTAAGGATACATGTGAAAATCTCATTTGAAGTAATTTGTTCTCAAATGCAGCCTAGATGATAGGGCATTTAGGAAAATTTACTTCGTTAAGTCTTTTCACATGATTTCGTAATTCATCTTAATAATAAGATTAATAAATAAAAAGTATAACAGTAAATTGAGATCTTAAATATAAACAGTTGCACCTAAGCTCTGCCTAGATGTTGAAGAGTCGGGGTGGCCTCATTATACTTAAGAATCCAACTTTTAAATTGTATCTCATCTTACACATTCATTGGCATACATACGTTAGCATGTTATTATCAGTAATTTTTGCACTATTTTGTCTTTAATTTTTATTTACTATTTGGTGATAAAATATTTTATAATAAAAAAAGAATAATACTTTTTAAAAAAATTATGATATTACAAAATAAAATAAAAATAACATTCTGAAAAAAATAATTCTTGGTACTTTGCCTAGATGTTGGAAAGTCACCAATAATTTTTTATAAATAGTGTTATTTTATTTTAAAGATTGTTGTGTTAAATCTTAAGTGAAAAGAGTTATTTTAAATTCTGCCTAGATGTTGGAGAATTTTAAGATAATTTTTTTTAACTTAAAGATTTTCTCAATATTTCTAAATAAAAATTTTAGCAAAAATATTTTTTAAAATGAAAGAAATTAGTATTAAATTTCAAGTCAAAACCATTTTTATCTAACATTGAAAATAACGCATAATTAAATGGTACCAATTTATGGGTGTTATGGGGGTGCTAATCCTTTCCCCACACATAACCGACTCCCGAACCCAACCTGATTTTTTATAGACCAAAATTTATCTTTTTGATAAACTTTAAACACGTTTTTATACTTTTATTAAAAAAATAAACTTTTTGGTAGCCAATCACACTCTACCAAAGATTGGTGGCGACTCCCCTCATTTACTTCGATTTTAAAACTCATTTATGTCTGATGGTCTTAAAACCATTACGACAGCTTGACGAATCCGCTGGGGACATTTGAGAGTTAGGCCAAAATTTTAATTATGCGCTATTAGCAATGGTTGTATTTAATTGGTTTTATTTAATATTTAGTTTAATTCCCTTTGTTTTAATTTTTCAAAATATATATATATATACAAGTTAATAAATAGAATAAATTGCATGTTAGTTGTTAATTTGATTTTGTTCTTTTGATTTATTTATTTAGATTAATGCATTGCTTTACACTCACTTTATATATTCGCTTACATGCATGAGCTCTATACCCGGGCTCTACCCCTTTTAGGAGGAAGTGAAGTAGCTACGTTCTTGTGAGGTGATAACCTCTGTATTTGCTAGTGAAACACTTCCACTCAAATTGAATCATTTTCGTTCGTAGCCTGTAATGGGTAAGGATCGGGGTTCCTTACTAGTCTAGTGTGGATGTCAATGAAGAACAATTTGAGAACCTTTAGATGAACAAATCTTCACTCAGCATACAGTGAACCTTAGGGGATCGGCCTTCGATAGAGCATTACCTTTTTGTAGAAATAAGAGAATAAATTTTCTTTAAGAATTTTTTTTTACATGTATTTCATTGCTTTGGTAGTTATCCAAAATTTACATTTTCATAAAATATTTTAGAATAGAATGAATTATTTTTAGCATTAATCCAACAAGCAAAAAAAATGAAAAAAAAAAGTTTTCAAAAAAATTAAAGATTTTTTTTTAGAATTCTTTGTTTATTGACCGAATAAAATTAATGTTCAAGTCTTAGTTCTTTTGTTTTTCCTTTTCAATTTTTTTTTCATATTTTATTTCATCTTTCGCATTTCATGCATCATGATGAAATAATACATGTATCCCATCCCATGCGCATCATGATAGGATAATATGAGCATTCCATCCCATCTACATCATTGGACAGTGTATGCATCCCATGTTATACACTTGTTGATAAATGATACATGCCTACCATACGTGTCTTAATAAGTAGTGCGCACATTTCATCTCATTACATGTTTAAAGGCAGTGTCAGTTCATTAGGATGACATAACACAAGCATTGCATTCCATATAAAAATATAATGAGCACTTGATAGGTTCATGCATTCCATACAAGTATACTGCATTAGTCATAGGAATACATCTCATCATTTATGTAAATATGTCATTGCATTTCATACATATAGATTCATGAATAATAGGGTCGTATGGAACATACATTGCATTTCATATCCCACATTCTTGCAACATAACATTGCATTTTTTGCATACACATTCATGATTGACAAAAATTTTTATTTGGGTCTTTGTACGTATAAAAATCCATTGTCATAAATATATATGCATTTCGTGACATTCTCATATTCATGTATTCATAAACATACTTTATGTGTCTTTGTTTTTGTGATATTTATTCAATAAGGGTAATAGTCTAGAATTTTTGGTCTAAGTCTCGAAATAAAATGTCTGTTTTGGTAGAAATTAGAATGACAAAAATGAAAGACAATTGGAAGCAAGGATTAGTGCTTTGAAGTTGAATCAAGAGGAATTATGGCTTTAGCTTCAAGAGATGAAATGGCAAATGTCTCAATTGATAGAAATGGTTAAAGGTAGTGGTGAAGTTGAGTTTGTTCCTTCTCAAGGATCGTTGTCACTTTCGATTCCATCAAGTCAAGATCAATCAGCTCTGGTTAGTCTTAGCACTTTTCTAGAAAAACTAAAGCATTAGGTGATTTGAACAGTGATCAAAGTTTGGGCATACTCAAGAGAGAAATGGGTGAACTAGCCACGCAAATGACTGAGCTCAAGAGTTTGATTTCCAATAAAGAGTCACCTGGCTTCAAACAATCATCACCATCTATCTCAAGTCCTAACCCATACCTAAATCCTCTTTATGACAACTTCTAACCTCCTTTCCAAACATCAAGAATTAAACCCCCAAGTGTCATGCAACCTTCAAAAATTTCACACTTGAATTCACGTCTCTCACCTCACATTTCACAATCGCTTGTTCAGCATGCTATCCAATCACCACTTTATCAGCCCAATCTTCAACCCAGAGTTTCTCAATTCACCTCGAGACCAACTATACTAGCACCTTTTTAGCAAAGCAAACTAATTATAGGACAGAAAAACTCTGGTAACACCAAAGGAAAAGTTTCTATTGATCTAATACCTATGTCTTATACAGAGTTATACTCGCTACTCATAGAAAACTACCTCATTGCCTCCATCCCTGCTAAACCTCACAAACCACCTTTCCCAAATGGTATGACCCAAATTTCCAATGTGAATACCATTTTGGTGTTGTGGGCCATTCTCTGAAAGACTGCACAGCTTTGAAACATAGGGTGCAAGGATTGATGAAAGTCAGATATCTGAGTTTTGATACCAAGATAAAACCAGTTATTCATGAGAACCCTTCTTTGATCCATGCCAAAATGGTAGGCAGTGCTGCAGGTAACAGTAAAGTTGGTTAGGATGATGAATAAAAAGCTTTTTAAGCAAAGAGTTATCCTCCATAGTAATCATGGTCAACTATTTTTTAGGTGAGATAAAGGGAAGTGGGAGTAGGTTTGGCATTTTTTGGGCCCAGCCCTAGAATGGTTTATGATGTGTAAACTTGATACTTTTGGAATGAATGAAAACTTCTTTTAACCTAGATTTTCTATGAATTAATGCTTTTGTCTAGCTTTAATAATTGGAGCCAGTGAAAAAGAGTGACGGTTGTGAATATACTTTCATCGAACTTTCGAAGAGAAAAGAATATCTTTAGATAACCCAACCAAAATATATGATGGAACTCAAGTTTTTTCCTTCTTAATATAATAAAATTTGGCTTACACATCATGCATCATCTATTTGAATTCATTGTTTTTCATGCTAGTTGAAGATAAAAGATGATGATTGTGAATATGCTTTTGTTAAACCTTCAAAGCCAAAAGATTTTTGATAATAAAATTCATGTTGTGCA